CTCTGGGTAGCACATATGCCAGAAATGTTCTGTGGATCTTAAATTCCTGGCGGATTCTGTTGTGAAAATGCAATGCAAAAAGGCGTTATCAATACTGCCATCCTCACTGTCATTTCTATTGCTAGTCTTATTGGGCTGAGGGTGGGCAGCCCAACAGCGTTCAACATAGATTCTTCAGGGAAGGCTTCCTATGATCAAGTCTGGGTCGCCTTTGGGCCATTGCCGCGTACCGATCGGCACCCATCTCAACCCACCTGAGGAGCTTGGGGCAACTCACCCTTCTGTAGCCGATATTCCGAAATCCTCCCTTGGTGTTATAGTCTTAGGCAAGACCTTCACTGAAAGGTCCCAAAGCTGAGACCACATAATATAGGGGCCTGCATACTTAGACTAGGGTTTGGGTTATTAGGTATATTCTACTATACTTATATAATAAGGAACCCCCTGTCCTAAAAATAAAGGCCCCTACATTGAAAGATGTCGATATGAGGCAAGTCACATAAAGCCGCAGCCTGCGGGGGCTGGCCATGCCGAGCCTTGTAGAAATCTGTAGAACCCTACTTACTTCCCCAACAGGCCAGGGAAATAAAAGGTGAAACTCTCAGAATACTACTGAATTATAAGAACCCAAAAAGTTCAAAGGATGGGTATTGGGGAACTACGTATAAGAACCCCTCCTGATTTAAGCAACGACTTGTGCTGACTGCTTGGCGACCCTGCGTCAGAAGCAGCTCAATGATCTCCGGATCCCGCCTGCAGTCGCAGAGAAAGTCTTCAGATTAAACGTGTGTACGATTTAGGGTTTAGGGTTTGGGGGTGTAGGGTTTAGGGCATTCCATCCCTCCAGCCTCAGCAGTAAACTCAACAGACTGAAGCTAACAAATCAAGCAAGTCAGATCCTCTGCTTAACTAGACATTGAGGCCATCAATTGTGCACCTGAATCCGAAGCTCCGTGCTGCGATGATTGTCATGACTCATATGATGACACGGATACACAATCAACAATGCCGACGACGACGATCGACGGATGCTATTCTCGTCACATGCATTCCTCTTCGCATAATGGCTTCTAGTTGATTCTAGTTGATACAGTGGCATCGCGGTAGATGTTTCTTGTTGCTGTTGGTTCTTTGACATTTTCACTTCTCGTTTCGCGTGCATCACCAATGTAATTCTTTCCTATTCACAATAAGGTCACATTGTGAACACTACACCTGCTGTGAACGTTGCGCAGAATGAGGAAGGAGGAGGAACAGCAGAAGCAGCAGCAAGCGTAGTAGCGGCAGCAGCAGCAGCAGGAGCTAACAGCAGCAGACATGGCTTTACTTGCAGTAGACGTCGCTGTCCTCCACCTCCTCCTCGTTAGCACCAGCATCAGCGGCAACGGCAGGAGTTTGTCTGATAGCCACAACAAACATGAGTCATGACAGATGCTGTTCCTGCCATAAGCTCTGTGCTTGCTATTCGCATTCCTGTTGCAAGCTTCCTAAACCCCAGAAAGTTCGTGCCATAAGCCCTAACAGATCGGCCTCCGTAGCGAGTGCAAGTGCGAAAGCACTGCCGGGATGCCTCTTCAAGGCCAGGGCTTCCAGGGTCAGGCACAAGTTTTTCGAATGGGCATAAAGTAAGGTGCCGAAAATGAACTAGAATAGGGTTTCGCGGGTATATCCCCCAAAATAGTATTGGGAATGATTTACACACCTATATTATGCTAACCCTAAGCCCTAGCCCCTAAACCGCCAAAACCTAAGCCCAAAGCTCCCTAAACCCTAAACCCCCTGAGCCCTAAACTGTAACTCTTGCTTCAGCGAGGCTCATCTTCTTGGAGTTCAAGATGCGATTGCAACCAGAGCTTCTCGGCTCCACGGCTTTACTCTTTCGGGTTTAAGGCTTTAGCGTTTAGGGTTTAAGGTTTCAGGGTTTCGGGTTATGTCGGTTGTGTAGGGCTGAGTGTGGCGCAGTTGCTTCTCCCTTTTGCAGGCCTTCCGTCCTTTTCAGTCCCAAGTCGCAAATGCGCTGCCATCAAACCCCACCATGCAATGACCTTGCGCTTTTTTTTGCATGCTGCCCGCTGTACAAAGGCGGTCTTTGACCCTTGCTCTACGGAAGTGTCGACTCTGACATTGCAGGCTATCCACAAGGCGAAGGCTAGCGCACTACGTCGATGCACAGCACTTCTGTTAGTCGATCATCCATCGTCATGGGTGGAGGACCAGTCAACCAACTCGACTTCACGTGCATTCACAATCATATCGTTCAACATAGTGCTCGTCACACACAGATTCGCCTGTGATAGCCGGCATGACATGGGCCAGAAACAGAAGGGCCCGGTTTCACCACCGCTCAACTCTGCAAGGATGGAGTCGTACATAGAACGACTCCTCAGCTGGAGCGCGTCATGATCTTTGGTTCTTCTGAAGCTGAGAACGAGGCCCACTCATAGAAGTGCTGACTGGGGGGAGTCCTTCAAGCATGGCTTTCGTGTGCAGAAGGGATGGCCGGACAGTGCATAAGCTTTGCCTGATAAGGATGCAGACTCGCATTATCAGGAAGTTTCTTATGACGATGCGTCATGTCATAATCTTATTCATACCGTTCTTCATACCCCATATTGCCCATAATACGATCACCGCCAATATGGGAGTTTCCGAAAATAGGGGACACCAATATAGTACCCTAAATAATAGGATCCTTACTATAAGGACCCCAAAATAAGGTACCCTAATTTTCGGAAACCCCGATATTAATTACGGGCGGTTCTAGCCCGAAGTCCGAGGAAAGGTTGAAAGAAACCGCCTGCTAAAGTGGCTACGCTGCCGTAAGTCTGCCAAGGCATTGGGTTTACAGTTGAGCGACCCTAAACCTGGTTTAGGGTTTAGGGTTTAGGGCACCCAAAAATTCAATAGACATTCTCATTTTCGAAGCTGTTCAAACATGCAGCAAGCTCATGAGAAAGAAACATGAGACAACCCCCTGCAAGGCTCAAGCACGGACCCAGGAAGAAAGAGAGCAGATCTCGCTTGCGACATGCAATCTTCTCTGAGCCAAGTGGCACCTTTGCCAGCCCAGAATTATTTTGTGGACTTGGCGAAATCTGCCCCCTTCCTCGGAACAAATTTTGACAAAGCACAGCTGCACACCCAACAGCTGCAAGAACACCTGATGGTCTTAAAACGGCTTTCGGAGTTGGACATCGGAGTTCCCTATTTCGCTTACAGCATGCTGACAGGCCACCTCGCTGGAAGAGGCTTGCCCTGTCATTGCTGTACAAGACACAGCTTGTCTACTGCAATCGGTTCATTCTCAATCCACTTCTTAGAAGCGGCCGCTCTGATTAAGCCGATCCAGATCTGTCTGTTGAACCCCTCGAAGCATTGAAATCCCAAGTGCTTCGCTTCCCTTTTGAGTGCGACTCTTCTCACAACACTTCTGAACTTGACCCATATCGCACGAAACAAGAACACATGCTCTACTGCCCCGAACACCGCTTGTCGGTTCACTCATGATGTAGTACAATATCGTAGAACACGCTACAGTATTGTAGAATCTAATACCATGTTGTATAAAAAAGTATGTCCTAGTACACGAGTACAGTAAAGTATAGCTCAAGTCGTCTAGAAGACCATGCGATCAAAGGTAATGGTAGTACTAGTAGTGTTGAAAATCATCATACAATTCCTACTACTGTTCATATGACTATTACAATTACTATTACGATTAAAGGCAGCCAGGGCACTCGGCTAAACGACCGTTCCACTCGCAGTGCCTGTACAAAGACTCCATGTCGTCGATCGCTGCCAGGACATCCTGCCAGATCATGGGTTCTTGAACCCAGGTCAAACAGGCTACTGGGCTTGGGGGTTCCAATCTAATATGCCCCCAGGAAGGAAATGATGCACAAAGTCTGCACGAAGCTGGCTTTCTCTCTCTCTCTCTCTCTCTATCTCTCTCTTCCTGCCGGCCCGCTAATCTGTGCCTTTCTGTTTGTCCGTCTGCGTGTCTGTCGGTTTGGCAGTCCCTCTTTTTCTCCACATGTACACGTACAGAAACACAGAGGACGTGCGTCAATAAAACAGGTAGGTAAATCAGCATGTAAGCAGACGATGTACCACAGATGTGGATGTGTATGTGGAATTGCAACGTAAGGACGAGGAAGAGTAAGTGCTTGGTAGGTATAGGCATGCATGCAACGGTGCGTGTACAATGTAGTCTTCGCAGGCGCATAGGTATATCTGCGCAGGCACAACATCCAGCACATACATAGCAAACGTAATGTAGCGGCCTTAAGAGTTAGAATAGGGAGTTAGGGGGCCATTATACTATGATTACAGTAAGAAACTAAACCTCTAAACTAGTATTGGCAATTATTCAGGCCCCTTCATTGCACTCCGACTTGTTTCGGTTGGAAGGTTTCACGGCCTAGGCAAAGCCTGCTACAGGCACAGTTCTCGGCTCCATTCGCAACAAATCAAGATGATCCTGAAATGTCGGTGTTGCTGAAAGCGTGCTCCCTAGGTCCCTAGGTATCATTGCAGACAGCGCTCTTTGTGATACCTGCATGCGAAGCTCAGTTTCTTCTCGTTCAAGACCAGTAGTTGATCATCGATGACCTCAACCCACCAAAACCCACTTTTTTGTAGGTTATTATTATAGACCCTAATATGGGATTTATAGGGACCCTACAAAAAAGTAGGTTCTGGTGGGTTAAGGTATCTTGAAGACCAGGCTCAGGCTGCATCATGAGGCCTCCGGAGATGGGACACCTCCAGATACCGTATGGTAAAACCTGCACACGGTTTAGGGGGTTAGGGTTTAGGGTTTAGGGCTTCGGGTTTAGCGTTCTCCGCGGGCTTCGGAGACAAGGTGGGTCGGTCTCGTTTGATGCAAGATCCGACTACTTATCAGATGCTTCCTCTTCAAGGAATGGAGAGGAATTGCGATAAATGACAGCGGAACACTGGGATACCAGACATGCGGCAGGGGCAAACGAACATCCAGGAGCCCAGCACCGTCTTCTTGCACGAGCATGTCGAGGGGAATGATAAGGTCGGTAAGGTTTAGACTGTAGTTTTGTGAATCTTAGTATGGCAGACAGCTGATAATTCTACATAATAACTCAGATGCCTCTGCCTTTGTCAAGTAGCAGTAATTGATCCTAAGCACACACACACACACTGCAGAGTCAAGACGAAGCCCGAAGCCCTGAAACGCCGAGGGGCTGAACCGTGATTGTGCACCGTTGCTTGCGATCCCGCCTGTCTGGTGCACCGGGTCGGCAGAGATGCTTGGGGTTTGGGGGTTAGGGATGTAGGTTTTAGGGTTTTGGGGTTTAGGGTTGTTTGGGGTTCGGGGGTTAGCGCTGTAGGGTTTAGTATCGGATAACTAGAATGGGTAGGAATAAGGTTGATGGGTCTGTTGAGCTGGGAATGCTACTGGGCATACGAAGGCTGATAGTGATCTCTCTCATACAAGCTCGGTGATGAGAGGGTCACGTTTTCCAGGATCGAGTTGTGGCTTTAACACACCTTACTATTTTTGCTGAAAACTGAACCGCGCGATGCAGTGCTCCAATTTGTGAGGCGAGCCCTACATTTGTTCCTAAGATATCAACGGATCCTAAACCCCAAACCCTACTTGAATCCTTCCTTGAACTCGTATCCCACATCCCATTACCTCGACATATCCGATAAACCCTCTGCACAACATCTCTAAGGCCCACAGCCCGTAAGCCCGCCAAGCCTAAACCCTCACCGTGCCCCATATATGGGAGCCTTAGAAGACAGGGCATCCGTATGATAGAACCCTGAAGTATCACTCCTCTCAGGAATTCACCCTCCCTCCCTAAACCCTTAACCCTGAACCCTAAAGCCTAAACCCCAAACCCCAATCCCTAAACCCAAAACCCTAGACCCTAACTTAAACCCTGAACCCTAACTTAAACCCTAAAGCCCAAACCCCGAACCCTAAACCCATAACCCTAAACCCCAACTTAAGCCCTAAAGCCTAAACCCCAAACCCCAAACCCTAGACCCTAACTTATACCCTACACCCTAACTTAAACCGTAAACCCCTAAACCCTAAACCCTTAAACCCTAAACCCTTAAACCCTAACCCCCAAACCCCAACCTACACCCTAAACTCCCTAAAGCCTAAACCCTAAAACACTGGGCCTTGGCTCCCGGAGTCGGAGGCCTGGCCAGTAGTCCTCGTGCTGGCCGCAGCTCACGCGTGCGGCGTTGGCGGTGCCATACCCCGCCTGCTTGCTTAAGGCTTAGGGGTTTAGGGGTTTAGGGGTATAGGGGTTTAGGGTCTTTAGGGTTTAGGGGTTTAGGGATTTTAGGGGTTTTAGGGGCTTAGGGGTTTAGGGGTTTAGGGTTTTTAGGGCTTAGGGTTTTTAGGGGTTAGGGCTTTTAGGGGTTTAGGGTTTAGGTGTTTTAGGGGTTTAGGGTTTAGGGGTTTTAGGGTGTTTAGGGTTTTTAGGGGTTTAGGGTTTAGGGGTTTACGGTTTAGGGTTCAGGGAGTTTAGGGTTTAGGGGTTAAGGTTCAGGGAGTTTAGGGCTTGGCCCCAAAATTGGCGGATTGAATGCGGCTTGGACAGTTTTTTGGTGGCAAGTTTAAGGAAGGTTCTGTTCCAGTAGGGCAACCCAGAGGCTCCAAAACCCCTTAATTAAGGAATATACCTTAAATCATATTAGGGATCCTATTATGATCTAAAGTATAGTATATTCCTTTATTAAGGGGTTTTGGTGTCTCTGGCAAAGTTTATGGTTTCAGCCCTTTTGCAAGCAGCCCAAGAGCTTCCTTCCAAACCCTCGGCCATCCTCTTTGTTTAGCTCGGGCTAGCTAACCCTGAACCCTAAACCCTAAACCCGAAACCCTAAACCCGAAACCCTAAACCCTAAACCCTGAACCCTAAACCCTAGACAGGCGCTCCGAAAGGATTCCACAAAAGCCTGGTGAAGTGAAGAAGATAAGGAATCAGACCTTTCTTATGTGGACACGCGTAGTTCGTGCTTGATCGACGCCTCTGCTTCATGAGCCTGCCAAGTTAATTAACATAAAGAGCTCCGAAGATTCTCTTGTAGTGTTTATAGCCATAGGTGTAGCGTTAATACCGTAAACCCAGAAACCAAAAAACAAACTTCGATCCGAAAACCCTGGTGTCAACATGCCCCAAGCCCTACAGCCCCAAAAAGCGAACCAAACGAATTGGCTCAGTGCCTTTCTGCTTCTAATGTAGGGGCCTCAATAATTACCTCTAATACGGTTCCTTGTTATAATTATAGTATAACATACCCCAGAACCCTATTCTAATTATTAAGGCGCCTACATTATGAAGCAGGGCCATGCCGGGGTTACCCTGGTGATTGTATACAGGGCCCTTTAGGAGCATTACGGAATCTAGGTGTATTTCGATTTAGGGTTTGGGCCTTCAGGGTTTTCGGGTGCCATGCATCACACAAAGTAAGGGACCCTCACGTAGCAAGTGCTTCCCTATACAACGAATCCTTGACTGCACCCCTAAACCGTAAACTCCAAACCCGAAGCCCTAAACTCCCAGACTCTAAACCCAGTTTGAAGCGGGTCGCCATGACTCAGCGAGGGCTTTGGATTTCATGTGCTGGTGGTTTATGAGGCTACAGGAACGACACCTGCGTTTCCTCCGCGAGTTTAAGGCGTCTAGAGGAGCATTGTCGTAACGCTGCTTCAAAACAGACCTGAAAGCACCAAGCAACAACCCTAACGCTTTAGTGCACCTACAGTAAGGACTAAACCTAAACTCTAAACCCGAACATCCCAAACCCCAACGACAGAACATAAGATAGGGGCCATAATAATTAGAATAGGGTTTTGGGGTATGCTATACTATAAATATGGTAAGGAACCCCCAGAATAGTGAAGGTAAATATTTAGGCCCCTATATAAATCCATTCGGACTGTCAGTGCCCTCTCGGAAATCCATCTCCTTCTCGTCTGCTGCAGCCAACTCTGCCGTGCCAAACTGTGCTGACTGAGCAGCCTGCATCCAATGAAGCAAGCGCTGGTTGCAAGGCTTGGGGTTTACAGTGTAACATACCTACCCAAATTCCTGAGCCCTACAACATAAGCCCGAAAACAGAATCTGGTGAAACTTAGTGAAAGTCTGGCGGGATTTCCGGTTGGGCACTGGCTCTGAGCGGCGATGCAAGCCTCCGGCCTTAACCATCTCTTCAATGGCACTCTGCGTGAGCCTGCCTTTGTCCTCGGGCAGCCCGAAGCAGAGGCTTTTGATGGAGATGAAGCTCTGGCAACATGACATCTGAAAGAACCAGGTGCTAGCAACTTCAACTGACTGCGAACACAACTTCCAGTGCCATCGAGGGACATTGCTGACGGTTATTTGGTTCGACTTGCCAGTGCTCCCCTCTGTCGCAGAGACGTGCCTGGAATCGCTGACAACTGCACCGAACTCCCGCTAATGGACAGTGGTGTCGGACGGAGAACGAGCACCCACCGTCACTAGAACTAATAATGACCGCAATAATAATAGTCACAGTCATAATAGTAGTAATAATAATGTAGTGATCACGATCCAAGCCGCCAGATCTCTAACGAAGCCAAGAGGCAGAATGCCGTTTGCATCGATGTCGAACGTCACCTCATGTGACTTTAGGGTTTAGGGTTTAGGGTTTTAGGGTTTTGGGTTTAGGGTTTTGGGGTTTTAGGTGACAGCAAGAGCTCTGTTTCTGCAGTTTTCCTGCAACCGGTCTAGCAGTTCCGCCTGAGCGGCCCGCACCTGCAACATGCAGTCCCAGGCGGTCCCCGTTATAACGGTTTAGGGTTAGGGTTTAGGGTTTAGGTTAAGGGTTTAGGGTTTAGGGTTTAGGGTTTGGCATGCGAGGTTTGAGAATTTTTGCACGTGGAATGGACGTCCTGGACCTGACGTGAACAAAAAGTGGAATCATCTACTACTACTACTACTACTACTACTACTACTGCTACTACTACTAATAATAATAATAACACCAATAATAATAATGATCGTGTAAGAATAGTAGTAACAATAGCAGCAAGTATAGCAGTAGTGACGATTTTCAACATGCGGATTCTCATCTACACAGATATGTTATACTACCTCCGTTTTCCATCGGGCCCGGGCCACCAAGTCTATTTACAATGGCGAACCTGTCGTTTTAGGGTTTTAGGGTTTAGGGTTTAGGGTTTAGGGGTTTAGGGTTTAGGGTAAACATGCGGAACATTTCTAACGGAACCTTCATACTTCCCGGTCCGGCCGCCCTCCACCTATTGAAACAAAACTTCACCGGTTTAGGGTTTAGGGTTTAGGGTGTCGTGCAGCTGCACAACATCCGGCTTGGGACACATGCATAGGATGAAGACTGAACATCTGCAGCCGCACCTTCCATACCTCATTCTTAAGAGAAGCCCTACCTATAGTCTCCATTGTAGTTCCTTTTTTAGTTCAACCAAATATATATATATATATATATATATATACACATATATATATATATGTATGTATATATTAAGCAATTTATAAGGTATCCCCAAAAGGGAACTACAATGGAGACTGTAGGTAAACCCAAAGATCCCCCACCGGGAGCTCGCTGGTTCTCCCCACCAAACACGGAAGCAGTTCGGGGGACACGGTTGAGGGTTCATGCCCCTACAGCCGAAACCCCAAGCCCCAATCCCAGAACCCTCAAACTTAGAAACCCCAAAGTTCCTACATCCTCAACCAAAAAAACCCGGAATGTCCCTGCAGAATTGCCTTGATCTGTGGCACTCCGCGTGGAGCCGGTGGCAACCCGTCGAGCACAAACTCCGACAGGAAGTTGTTTTCCTTGTGGCGCAGCTCAGGCTTTGGGGATTTAGGGCTTATAGGGTTCAGGGTTAAGAATTTAGGGTTTAAGGTGGTTTATTACTATGCTAGGACGTTGTTTCCCTTCCGAACTCGGATGAGGCTTAGGATTCAGAACGGGGTAATAGTTTATGGCTGATGGCTTAGGGTGGCTGCGGGTTGAGGGACAGTTGGGCTGGAGCTGGATAGCTTATTCGCAGAAGCCTTGGGATGAGACACCTTCAATGCTTGAATCTTAGGGGTCCTAGCCCTAAACCCAAAACCCTGAAGCCTCAATCCTAGCTTCCCCGTTCCTGCAGCCTCTGCAATCCTTAGGGATGCGCAGGGAAATAGCTGCCTTACGTCCGACACCACAGCCCTGAAGTTCTTCACGCTCTGATGAGGGTTTAGGGCCTAGGGTTTAGGGTCTGGGTTGTGAAACAGTAGCAGTTCGGGGATTTGACGGCAGGGGCCTTTGCAGTGGTTCTGTCAGGAGTCACATTTGCTGTGTGATGGTTCGGGTCTATGGATCATGGATAGTAGCTACTACTGCTCCCAGGTCTGCTACCACTGACTTGAAACCTTGTCAATCTAGACCCTAAGCCCTAAACCGCAATTCCTGCCCAAGTGACAGAACTGGAAGCCCGCTCGCCCTCAAAGATTCGAAGCTTCACGCTCCTCCAACAGAGTTTGACATGTCCCGTGCTTGTTGATGATGGTCTAGCAAAGAATCAAAACAGCTCGCGAATACTACAGGACTAGGCGCTCAACGGGACACATGCGGCAACTGGCTGGCTGAGATTAAAAAAACAAGCCATCTCTCGTCGTGGTATGAATCCCTCCCGGCCGAAGTCGAAGTCATCAGAATATCAACGCTTGCCCGAAACCCAAAAACCCCTAACCTCTAAACCCTCAACCCGAATGTGACAAAAAGGCCCTAAACCCTAAACCCTAAACAGCCATACTCCTCTGGTTGTCTTCGTGGGTTGTGAGGACCAGTGAGCGCCGTGTGGGAATGGTCGTGTTGCGTTCCTCGAGGATGCCGCCCCAGGGGCTGCAACTTCGGGATCATCAGTAATATATCCCGTGTGTATAATATGTATATATATATATATCTGTATACACATATATGTCTCTGTATATATCTGTATATATATATATATGTATATACATATGCATGTGTGTGTATGTTCTATGTATGTATGTATGTATGTATGTATGTATGTATGTATGTATGTGTATGTAATGGTTTGTATGTGTATGTATGTGTATGTATGTGTATGTATGTGTATGTATGTGTATGTATGTGTATGTATGTGTATGTATGTGTATGTGCATGTATGTATGTATGTGTACGTATGTATGTGTATTTATGTATGTATGTACGTAGGTATGTATGTATGTATGTATGTATGTGTGTACATCTACACATTTTATATAGGGCTTAACAGTAGGGCTATAGGGTTTTGGGCTTAGAGTTTTCTTTCGAGGGCAGGGAAACCACGAATCCGAACTCCAAAATGGAACTCGGAGGCAACAAACAAATCTCTGTAGGACGACTTGACGGGCTTTCGAGCTTGAAGGTTCAGGGTTTAAGTTTAGGGTCTAGGGTTTAGGGTTTAGGATCTTCCCCAGGCTCAGATTGTATGGCTTCCGGGCTGCGCGGCTAAATGCTCTTGCTCTTGAAATCCTCCTCTGAACCCCAAGCTCAGGCCCTTAACACCTCATACAACTCTATCTTAAAGCCAGTCAAGATGAGTACTTAAAGAAAAAGCTTCTACAAACAGAAACGACAATGAACCCTGAACATAAATGCAGATAAACAATAATTTAAATAAACAACAAAGAAACACGCTTTCAATATACACCTATATATATATATATATAGATATGTATTATATATGTATATGTACACATATATACACATACATATGTATGACTACATATCCGTGTACGACAATACATATACATATACATGTACATCTACATTTACATATTTACTCCTAAAGGTAAATACACCCATCTCTGTCTCCATCTATCTATCTATCTATCCATCTATCTATCTACCTATCCAACTATCTATCTATCTACCTACCTATCTACCTATCTATCTGTCTATCTATCTATCTATCTATCCATCTATCTAGCTATCTAGCTATCTAGCTATCTAGCTATCTAGCTATCTATCT